GTTTTTGTTGGTTTTTGTTTTGTTTTGTTTTGTTTTGTTTTGTTTTGTTTTATCTACCACTCAAACCAGCACCTCATAATAAATAATTTCTCTATGTCCAGTATCTATTTTATTTTTGTCTCCTGGTACAAACTCTTTTCAATATTCATTATAGCAGTATATTAGAATTTTACAATTATAAGAAAGAATTATTCAGACAAAATGCTTTTAGTAATCAGAAATCATGACTCCAAATCAGAGGAGATATTAGAAGGACTCCAGCATCTAAATACCAAGAAATGAAAGGATAGAAATATATATATATTTTAATACTTTTAAAAAAAATATATAATTCATTGTCTCTTGTGTATAATTTGTAGTACTGGATTCAGGGTTATCTATGCATAATTGAAGAAAATCCACAAATGTTCATCAATTGTTTTATTTGTTAATTAAGTGTTAGCTAATCATAAGACCAATAATACTTGAAATTCTAACTTCAAATGTACAAATCTGTGCAACTACTTCTTACATTTCATATTTAGTTCCAATGATATTCGTTCTATAGTGTATTTAATGAAAGCCCATGGTACTTCAGCTACCGTAAGTTTCTGTAAGTGAGCTGTGTAAAGCTTAGGTAGTCATAAACTTGCTTTTAATTAGGGGAGAGAAACAGACATCTGTAGCACACTGTTCATAAACAAGAAACCATTCATAAAGAGGATGTCTTAAACAACTTGAGTGGGATGTCCTGTGGGGGAGAAGCGAAATGAGCTCTTTAGAGGTGGGGTGGTGGGCTGTTTCTCTCCCCTTCCCTCCTGTGTTTTTCCAGAGACAGAACTTGTCTAACTGTGCAGGTACGAGACAGAGAAAATGAGAACCTTCTGGAACAACCTGTTGCACATGTGTAAGAAAGGCTATAGAAAGGCAGCACCCCAGATTTGACTTTGTCAACCCACCACCTATGGACCAAGCTGACTACTCTGTGACAGCACGGGATCCCAGGATGGTGATTTCCCTTTTCCTATCCCTTCATCTTCTCTTTTCTCTTTCCTTTTTTTTTACTCTCTCTCTCTTTCTTATATATATCTACGTGTGTAAGTTTTGTACGAATTAAATTGGGATGGATTGATCATTGATGGGTTATCAGGAAAATGGTCTCATCAATGAAGTGCCAGGACAGACAGTTACTAGTTGATTGTTTCCAAATTGTCTCCATTCACTTACTGAAGTGGTCAGTTAATAAAGTCACCAGCACAATGTTCCTCTGGGTCATTGTGGTTACTCGGCCTGTCCTGCAGTTCTGCCAAGAAGATATCAGCTCTTCCACTGGCACGCAGGGTCTCGGGGAATTCAAAAGATTCACTCCCCTTGTAATACTCTGCGTGTAAAGAGACAACACCTCCAGCAGAAGATTCTTCTTGTCATAATCCAACACCCATTTCTCTTCTGACTGCAAAGAACTGTGTGGATAGCTTAAATTCAGGCACATATTTTTTTCAATTTCTGAAGCTAAGGAGACAGACCAAAAAGTATTCTTTTTCAAATAAAATAAACAAAAAATAATACAGTTGTATGTGTGTATTTGTATGAGTGTGTGAAGGTCTCAAAGAGATTTGTTTGCTTATAGCAGGAACAGTTTTTCAGAGGAAATCAAGGCACTTGCTGGAATAATATGTATGAGGACCACATTTATCTTTGAGAAACAGGAATTTATCAGAAATTAACAGAATTCTTTTACCCCTAAAAGGGCTGGAGCATCATTCCAATATATTTAATGGAGAGCTTGTTAAGGACAAGTATCTTTCTAGGAGAGATAAAGACATATATCATTATTGTTCATAATAATAGTGTGCTGAAACCATAGCTTGAGGGATTTTTCCAGGCGTATTTCCTGAGATTCCAGTGAGCTGCCCCAGCATTTTAAGCCGTATTTCCAAACATGTCAAGAATAACTTCAATCTTTAAATGCTGAGCAGGTAGGCATCTCAGTCCTGCATAAAAACTTCCCTCATGTGCATATTGCTTACTTTCTCTTCTTGCCGGTAGTCCTACAGTAGGCTTTTAATTCTAGAAAATAATTATTAGGTTGGTTTCCACAGTAAAACTTCTTTAGGGAAAGGTATTCTTTCATCTCTGTGATTAGTAATCTCATGCAGTTTGCAAGTGACCTGATTAAAAGTTCTGCATCTCTGTGAAGAGAGTTTCCAAGCTTCTAACTTTCTATGAAATATGTTGATGGCAGAAATTCTCTAAGACAGTAATGGCTAGCAGTTGGAAAAAAATGCACTTAAGCTACTGCAAGGAGAACTATCTCCATAAGATATGCTTGATCAACTTAGTTAATGTACTTCTAGTTCTAATTAAAGCACAGAACAGGAACAATGAAAGCAAGACGTCAACATTTTTTTTTCTGGTATTGTCGTGTTTGTGACACTTTGTAATAAACAGCATCTTCAGAAAGCTGTGAGCTTTGTTCACAAAGAGTATGATGTTGTTTTTACAGCAATTGATTTAATCATGCATATTAAATGTTGATAGAAACCTTGGACAAGGAATTTGATTCTAAACGTACTAAGCATTGAATGCCAAACTTATGGTTTGTCTTTTTTTTTTTTTTTTTTTTTTTTTTTTAAATTCCTTGATTCAGAAAACAGAAATTGATTTATTTTACCTGAAATAAAATTGATGGTTAAAATTAAGCAGTTTTCAGGGGGAGTTTTAATTGGATAAGGTTAAAACCCTACAGAGATTCTCTGTCTTCTATCTTTAATTCCAAATTTGGAGGAACTTTCTGAAGTTGCCCTGCTGCTTTATTCAGACGTAATCAGCACCCTTCAATGAAACTCTAATTTAAAGGGAATTCATTATAATAGGTGACATTTAAATAGGTGAAAATAAATGCCTCTGTGCATAGAACTGCATTTTCTAAAACAAAGGTAAGGTCTTATAGCAAGCTATAACAACACCTCACATCTGAACACAATTTGTATCTATTTACAGATTATCTATATACAAAGAATTATATATATATATATGTCTAAATAAACAATATTTATGATGAAGTCTCTCAACGTGTTTTGCAAACATGTTAGAAGTGTCCCTTGACTATTGGACTGTAAGTGAATGTTACTTTATTGTATACCCTTTATTTCCCTGATGAGTATTAAATATAAGCCCAAGAAAGTCTAAATTGTTTATAGCTATGTAGTGAGTCAAAAACAAACATGAGAAAAAAAGAAACTGGGTTTCTTAATTCATTCTCTGGTTGTAATTACCAAGATACAACAAATCTGATTTTTAATTACTTTACACTTAATGTAGTCAGATATTCATGCACTATAGCTGGAACATTCTGACATAATTTTTGATTTTTTGGTTTGATGACATTCTAAAATGTATTTTCACTCATACAGGTCAATATGCCAGTGATTGAACACTTTGGATAAAGAGACTAAAGCATATTATCAAAACTTAATGGTGAAATACATTTACATTTAAAGCTACAGGATGGTGGAAAATCAGTTCTGCCTCCAGTGGGGATATCAGTAGTGCAATATATAAAATGAGGCAATGTTTATAGAAAAATATGTACTTCTTCATTAGACCAGATGTGTATTCAGAGAAACTTAGAAGCTTTCAGGCATGCAAACCTATTTTAGGGTTGAAATAGAAGCAACAAACTTGAAATTACATGCAAGCTGAGAACAATTTGTTCTGAGTTTAACTTAAAAGTATGTTAATCATCGAGATAGTTTGACAGAAGACTTCATCCATAGCCATGCAAAGGAAAGAAACTGTTTCTAATAGAAAAGATCAGAATATCATTATCTGTCATGAGAGAAAAAGAGGCAGTTATCTGAGTAATAATACATGTTTACACCAGTGGCATTTGTAGTATACTATAAAATATAAGCCACTATGATTGTATTTACAGATTTGACTTATGAATTGTGGGTGTAGGGTCTGTGCTGGTGTTCAGAGGAGACTCACAAGTGTGGAATGCTTGTGGGATGAGTGTGTGAGTGCTGCGTGTTTGTAGCAAGCTCTGAGCTGTACCAGTCAGAGAATAGGGGACTTGTGGGGCAGGTAACAGGGGCCAGGATCTGGGCAAGAAGGCAGAGGGTCTCTGCTGGCACTCGGGGATCTGTCAATGTGTGAGTGCTTGTGAATCTGGAGAGTTTACAGTTTGAACGTGCAAACTTTAGTAAAGTGGGGAAAATTCCCTAATCAGTTCTATAAAGTGACGACAAAGCTTGTCGCATGCGTATATTTCTTTGATTCTTCTACCCATAAATCCTTTAGCCTAGAATACATAGCCTACCTCCAGCTGAGGTTATGCCTTGCGAGTTACATGTGTGCAATAACTAATGTCTGGTTCAGTGTTCTGTTAGTATTTTATGAAATTCTTTTACTGTATTTATTAACATTTTTTGACCTTTTTAATTAAATTTTATAAAATATAAGAGATTGCACACAGTACTCAAAAAGAATGCAGTTTATCTATTTACAGATATTTTCAACTAGACAGGACAATACCAAGGGCAGCAAGCCTGTTTAAAAAATCCAAAATAAGTGGCTGGTATTGCAAAAAGAATGGAATTCCTCTATTTGAACTATGCAATTATAATTTCTCTACAAAGGAAATAATTCATTTATCTTAGAGCTCATTTCTTTAGAATGTATGGTGGTTTTGTATACTTTGAATATATTCTATATACTTACTCACAGAGAGGATAGTAAATCTCAAGCCAGTGAACTGGAAAATCAGAATAACTACAGTATTTACAATATAATATTACTGCCCAGTGGGATTTTATTAGTCACTAGCTGTAACAAAAACCACTGCAATATGACTTATACTATATATCATTTTAAGCATTCAATAGTATTCTCTGACCATCAAGAAAAGGGTCATATTTTTTACATAGCTGCACATAGGTACTCAAAATTTCTTTCTATGAAAACAAATCAACACACTACAAATTAGTTTCCATGGACCGAAAATGGCTCATTCAGTCTGAAGAAATAGATTCATAAAAACCAGGGACATAAACATTGAAACGAGTTTAATGAAATGTCTAATCAATAATAAACAAAGCTGAATTTAAAACTGACATTAGGTGATTCAGATGAACATTGCTACAGGAGGTACAAAAGTATAAATGATCTGCCATTTGAGACACAAACTAGAAATCATTCTGAGTCAAAGTCAGACAAGGACTTTTTATATGTTGCTTCTCTTGATGACTGGGTAACTGTCACTCCATTCACTGCATACTTACTAATATTAAAGCTTAATTTAGGCTAAATTTTGATCTCCCTCAGTACTATTTTCCCATAGTACTTCACTGTTCTTAAAGGTGGGAAATAATCCATTTCATAAAAACAGAGCTCCACACTAAAGCATATTCAGCTATATAAATATCTCAGGTCTAAATTCCTACTTGTATACTCGTAAAGCTCCCATTCATTTGTTCTCTTTGTATTCTGCTATTAAAAGAAGCTGCAAACCATTGACAGGTTCTTGGAATTAAAGCTTTTAAATACCAATTAACTTCCGACCACGTATGGTTACACACTACACCATCATGTTCCATAATCTCATAGATTCTAAAATACTGAAATAAGCCTATAGAGAATATCAAGAGAATAGAATGGTAAAAGTAAGATTAACCTTTTCAGACTAGTGTCATGTAATTGTAATCTGGGTTCTTATGTGGAAAATGTGTTGCAGACTATGCCTTTAAACAAGCAAAGTAAACGACAGAAAAAAAAAAAAAAAAAAAAAAAAAAAA